CCACTGTCAACCAGCATACACAACGTCATACAGATGTCTGACTCCACTGTCAACCAGCACACCCAACTTCACACAGTTGTCTGACTCCACTGTCAACCAGCACACCCAACTTCACACACTTGTCTGACTCCACTGTCAACCAGCACACCCAACTTCACACAGATGTCTGACTCCACTGTCAACCAGCATACACAACGTCATACAGATGTCTGACTCCACTGTCAACCAGCACACCCAACTTCACACAGTTGTCTGACTCCACTGTCAACCAGCACACCCAACTTCACACAGTTGTCTGACTCCACTGTCAACCAGCACACCCAACTTCACACAGATGTCTGACTCCACTGTCAACCAGCATGCCCAACTTCATACACTTGTCTGACTCTACTGTCAACCAGCATGCCCAACTTCATACACTTAAGTGTTGGTCTCCACTGTCAACCAGCATACCAAGTTCACACAGTTGTCTAACTTCACTGTCAACTAGCACAACCAACTTCACACAGTTGTCTAACTTCACTGTCAACCAGCATACCCAACTTCACACAGTTGTCTAACTTCACTGTCAACTAGCACACCCAACTTCACACAGTTGTCTAATTTCACTGTCAACTAGCACACCCAACTTCACACAGTTGTCTAACTTCACTGTCAACTAGCACACCCAACTTCACCATTTGTCTAACTTCACTGTCAACTAGCACACCCAACTTCACACAGTTGTCTAACTTCACTGTCAACTAGCACAACCAACTTCACACAGTTGTCTGACTCCACTGTCAACCAGCATTCCCAACTTCACACAGTTGTCTAACTTCACTGTCAACTAGCACACCCAACTTCACACAGTTGTCTAACTTCACTGTCAACTAGCACACCCAACTTCACACAGTTGTCTAACTCCACTGTCAACCAGTATACCCAACTTCACACAGTTGTCTGACTCCGCTGTCAATCAGTATAACCAACTTCATACACTTGTCTGACTCAACTGTCAACCAGCATACCCAACTTCATACAGTTGTCATACTCCACTGTCAACCAGCATACCCAACTTCACACAGTTGTCTAACTTCACTGTCAACTAGCACACCCAACTTCACACAGTTGTCTAATTTCACTGTCAACTAGCACAACCAACTTCACACAGTTGTCTAACTTCACTGTCAACTAGCACACCCAACTTCACACAGTTGTCTAACTTCACTGTCAACTAGCACACCCAACTTCACACAGTTGTCTAACTTCACTGTCAACTAGCACACCCAACTTCACACAGTTGTCTAACTTCACTGTCAACTAGCACACCCAACTTCACACAGTTGTCTGACTCCACTGTCAACCAGCATACCCAACTTCACACAGTTGTCTAACTTCACTGTCAACTAGCACACCCAACTTCACACAGTTGTCTAACTTCACTGTCAACTAGCACACCCAACTTCACACAGTTGTCTAACTCCACTGTCAACCAGTATACCCAACTTCACACAGTTGTCTGACTCCGCTGTCAATCAGTATAACCAACTTCATACACTTGTCTGACTCCACTGTCAACCAGCATACCCAACTTCACACAGTTGTCTGACTCCACTGTCAACCAGCATACCCAACTTCACACAGTTGTCTAACTTCACTGTCAACTAGCACACCCAACTTCACACAGTTGTCTAACTCCACTGTCAACCAGTATACCCAACTTCACACAGTTGTCTGACTCCGCTGTCAATCAGTATAACCAACTTCATACACTTGTCTGACTTCACTGTCAACTAGCACACCCAACTTCACACAGTTGTCTAACTCCACTGTCAACCAGTATACCCAACTTCACACAGTTGTCTGACTCCGCTGTCAATCAGTATAACCAACTTCATACACTTGTCTGACTCCACTGTCAACCAGCATACCCAACTTCACACAGTTGTCTGACTCCGCTGTCAATCAGTATAACCAACTTCATACACTTGTCTGACTCCACTGTCAACCAGCACACCCAACTTCACACAGTTGTCTGACTCCACTGTCAACCAGCATACCCAACTTCACACAGTTGTCTGACTCCACTGTCAACCAGCATACCCAACTTCACACAGATGTCTAACTTCACTGTCAACCAGCATGCCCAACTTCACACAGTTGTCTGACTCCACTGTCAACCAGCATACCCAACTTCACACAGTTGTCTGACTCCACTGTCAACCAGCATACCCAACTTCACACAGATGTCTGACTCCACTGTCAACCAGCATACCCAACTTCACACAGTTGTCTGACTCCACTGTCAACCAGCACACCCAACTTCATACACCTGTCTGACTCCACTGTCAACCAGTATACCCAACTTCACACAGTTGTCTGACTCCGCTGTCAATCAGTATAACCAACTTCATACACTTGTCTGACTTCACTGTCAACTAGCACACCCAACTTCACACAGTTGTCTAACTCCACTGTCAACCAGTATACCCAACTTCACACAGTTGTCTGACTCCGCTGTCAATCAGTATAACCAACTTCATACACTTGTCTGACTCCACTGTCAACCAGCATACCCAACTTCACACAGTTGTCTGACTCCGCTGTCAATCAGTATAACCAACTTCATACACTTGTCTGACTCCACTGTCAACCAGCACACCCAACTTCACACAGTTGTCTGACTCCACTGTCAAGCAGCATACCCAACTTCACACAGTTGTCTGACTCCACTGTCAACCAGCATACCCAACTTCACACAGTTGTCTGACTCCACTGTCAACCAGCATACCCAACTTCACACAGTTGTCTGACTCCACTGTCAACCAGCATACCCAACTTCACACAGTTGTCTGACTCCACTGTCAACCAGCATACCCAACTTCACACACTTGTCTGACTCCACTGTCAACCAGCATACCCAACTTCACACAGTTGTCTAACTTCACTGTCAACCAGCATACCCAACTTCACACAGTTGTCTGACTCCGCTGTCAACCAGCACACCCAACTTCACACAGTTGTCAGTCTCCATTATCAACCATCATCCCACACATCGTACAGTTTTCGGTCGCCACTGTCAACCATCACCATACACTTCATACACTTAGGTGTCGGTCTCCACTGTCAACCATCATTTCACACATGGTACAGCTGTCGGTCTCCACTGTCAGCCATCGTCCCACACATCGTACAGTTGTCAGTCTTTATTGTCAACCCTCACCATACTTTTTAGTCGATTAGAATGTTATAGATTCAAAACAACAAGCTCACAAATAAAACTTTTATTTAAAAAAAATACTGATTATGGCAACAAAGTATAGATTATTAAAACCAAGAAAAAAGTATCCCCCATGAAAACCAACAAGACTAGTTTGATGTCACGTGTTGTGACTGCTTGAGAATAACATTGCTTGCAGAAGGTCGTGAATGTCTGCAAACATGGCATCGGGTATGCCGTCTTGCATGTCTGATCTTGAAAATGGCACCCAGTGTGGCGTCCTGTATGTCTACCAGACACACGACATATACAAGGCTTACATTTGTGTTGGAGTTCAAGATCTGATTGTCTGTGACTTGGCAGTAAGCCTACCTGCAACATATGATAGTATATGAGTTGGCAGTAAGCCTTTCGGCAACATCTAATTGACTGTGACTTGGCAGTAGGCTTACCTACAACATGATAGTATGTGACTTGGCAGTAAGCCTACCTACAACATATGATAGTATGTGACTTGGCAGTAAGCCTACCTACAACATATGATAGTATGTGACTTGGCAGTAAGCCTGTCGACAAGATCTGATTGTATGTGACTTGGCAGTAAGCCTGTCGACAAGATCTGATTGTATGTGACTTGGCAGTAAGCCTGTCGACAAGATCTGATTGCATGTGACTTGGCAGTAAGCCTGTCGACATGATCTGATTGTATGTGACTTGGCAGTAAGCCTACCTACAACATATGATAGTATGTGACTTGGCAGTAAGCCTACCTACAACATATGATAGTATGTGACTTGGCAGTAAGCCTACCTACAACATATGATAGTATGTGACTTGGCAGTAAGCCTGTCGACAAGATCTGATTGTATGTGACTTGGCAGTAAGCCTGTCGACAAGATCTGATTGTATGTGACTTGGCAGTAAGCCTACCTACAACATATGATAGTATGTGACTTGGCAGTAAGCCTACCTACAACATATGATAGTATGTGACTTGGCAGTTAGCCTACCTACAACATATGATAGTATGTGACTTGGCAGTAAGCCTACCTACAACATATGATAGTATGTGACTTGTCAGTAAGCCTGTCGACAAGATCTGATTGTATGTGACTTGGCAGTAAGCCTGTCGACAAGATCTGATTGTATGTGACTTGGCAGTAAGCCTACCTACAACATATGATAGTATGTGACTTGGCAGTAAGCCTACCTACAACATATGATAGTATGTGACTTGGCAGTAAGCCTACCTACAACATATGATAGTATGTGACTTGGCAGTAAGCCTACCTACAACATATGATAGTATTAACTTGGCAGTAAGCCTACCTACAACATATGATTGTATGTGACTTGGCAGTAAGCCTGTCGACAAGATCTGATTGTATGTGACTTGGCAGTTAGCCTGTCGACAAGATCTGATTGTTTGTGACTTGGCAGTAAGCCTACCTACAACATATGATAGTATGTGACTTGGCAGTAAGCCTACCTACAACATATGATAGTATGTGACTTGGCAGTAAGCCTGTCGACAAGATCTGATTGTATGTGACTTGGCAGTAAGCCTGTCGACAAGATCTGATTGTCTGTGACTTGGCAGTAAGCCTACCTAGAACATATGATAGTATGTGACTTGGCAGTAAGCCTACCTACAACATATGATAGTATGTGACTTGGCAGTAAGCCTACCTACAACATATGATAGTATGTGACTTGGCAGTAAGCCTACCTACAACATATGATAGTATGTGACTTGGCAGTAAGCCTACCTACAACATATGATAGTATGTGACTTGGTAGTAAGCCTACCTACAACATATGATAGTATGTGACTTGGCAGTTAGCCTACCTACAACATATGATAGTATGTGACTTGGTAGTAAGCCTGTCGACAAGATCTGATTGTATGTGACTTGGCAGTAAGCCTGTCGACAAGATCTGATTGTATGTGACTTGGCAGTAAGCCTACCTACAACATATGATAGTATGTGACTTGGCAGTAAGCCTACCTACAACATATGATAGTATGTGACTTGGCAGTAAGCCTACCTACAACATATGATAGTATGTGACTTGGCAGTAAGCCTACCTACAACATATGATAGTATGTGACTTGGCAGTAAGCCTACCTACAACATATGATAGTATGTGACTTGGCAGTAAGCCTGTCAACAAGATCTGATTGTATGTGACTTGGCAGTAAGCCTGTCAACAAGATCTGATTGTATGTGACTTGGCAGTAAGCCTGTCGACAAGATCTGATTGTATGTGACTTGGCAGTAAGCCTACCTACAACATATGATTGTATGTGACTTGGCAGTAAGCCTACCTACAACATATGATAGTATGTGACTTGGCAGTAAGCCTGTCGACAAGATCTGATTGTATGTGACTTGGCAGTAAGCCTGTCGACAAGATCTGATTGTATGTGACTTGGCAGTAAGCCTGTCGACAAGATCTGATTGTATGTGACTTGGCAGTAAGCCTACCTACAACATATGATAGTATGTGACTTGGCAGTAAGCCTACCTACAACATATGATAGTATGTGACTTGGCAGTAAGCCTACCTACAACATATGATTGTATGTGACTTGGCAGTAAGCCTGTCGACAAGATCTGATTGTATGTGACTTGGCAGTAAGCCTGTCGACAAGATCTGATTGTATGTGACTTGGCAGTAAGCCTACCTACAACATATGATAGTATGTGACTTGGCAGTAAGCCTGTCGACAAGATCTGATTGTATGTGACTTGGTTGTAAGCCTATCGACAAGATATGATTGTATGTGACTTGGCAGTAAGCCTATCGACAAGATAATATTATCTGTGACTTAGCAGTGAGCCTATATCTGAGATCATGATTGTCTAGGATTCAAATAGCAGTCGTATCGCCAGGAGTGGTTTTATCTGGAGTCAGCAAGACTGGCAACATCTGCGACCAGGGTTGTCTGTTATCAGAAGCCAATGAGAAAGGCAACACGGGCAATGTAGTCTGTAATAACGCCCCAAACCTGCAACGATAGGAACAAATGTAAACATATTTGTATTGGCGCCATGCTATTAACGTCAGATTTCCGCGGTAGACGTTGTAGAAGTAGAAAAACTCCCCTCCCAACGTCTTTACATTTCATACATTAAACAATTTCTAAGTAGTATGTTAACGTTAAAATGTGATGACACTTGCAACATGTCAGGAATAGCCACTGTGAACGTGACTACCAGTCCGGTAAGACCTCCTCCGTGGTCTTGTGGTAGAGCGTCCGCCCGGAGAGCGGAAGGTCCAGGGTTCGCGTCATACAAAAAGACGTTAAAAGATTGTACTTGTTGTTACCCTGTCTGGCGCTCGGCATTAAGGGGCTAAAACAAGGACTTGTCGGCTCGGAGTCAGTATACTGTGTCTGAGTGGGGTATTCATGTTAAACTGCGGCATGGTATCTCAGTGAGCTAGCACTATAAATCGGCATCAGTCCGGACTAGTACAAGCAGCCACACACACACATACACGTGCATGCACGTCGCTATATAAGTGCAATAATCTTGGACGCGACGTTAAACCCAATTTCACCTCGCCTCACCAGTCCGGTAACATTAAGGGAGGCAACTCTTTTTCGCGGTATTCTGAATTTTGGACCCTACGCAGTCATGACCATTACAGGGTGAGGTGAAATGGGGTTTGACGTCGCGTCCAGGATTAATCTACTTACATAGCGACGTGCGTGCGACACACTGACACCACCAACAACTCAAAACTGGCGAACATCACATGCATTGGCAAGTCAAACGGGTTCTCGACTATTTTGGCATCTTCCCGAGGCAAGAGGGTTAACTGACTTTAAAAGTCCAGTTTCCACCCTTGCCGAACTCTGCTGGAATTACTGGGCTCGATCGTAGCGCCACCACTGGTTATTGTTGTTGTTGTTGCATTAGGTGTTTAAGAGGTCGCCTTCTGCCTAGGCAATTTCGGCTGACCTGTCCCTCTTTGGGACTCCTGTGTGTGAGAAGGGTTCACATATCTATTGTGAGTTCGGTGTTCACATAATTTCTGTTTTTGCATTGATATGATTTCTATTTTCTTATATTGAAATGATTTCATTTTTATCCTTGGCTGCTCTGTTTACATACGTTCGAGCAGCTGTCCATCTCTCAGAAATAGAGTTAGTTTGGACTTCGCTATTGCATCTCTTGGCTTTAGGAGATCTATGACAGATAGCGGATCTAACTGCAATTCTTGTTTTAACCTAGCCCGGGCTGGGGCATGGTCTTGACATTCTAGTAACAACTGGTTATTACCAGTTATGTCCCCTATAAGCCTCTCCTATGGACCAATCAGATTCCACCTGTCGTATCACTTGCGTTTGTTTCACACAAAATGGTGGCGCCCAGTCAGGACGATCTGATCGATAATCAAGATCTATATTGTGATAAAACGGGTCTTACATCGCGAAATGCATCAAATCTCGTGAGCACCTTAATTAAAAAGATTTGGAAAATATCTGCTGACAAGTTGGCGGTGCGCATGTTTTGCAAATCCTGCAATCGACCGAAATCTGCACGACAGTTTACGAACCGGATTTCGATTTCGGTGCGCGATTTTGATTGGACTGTGCATAGACTCGTTAGTCCAGCCAAAATGTAACTCCTTAATACCAGCCTAGTTCGGCAAGGGTGGAAACTGGACTTTTATAGTCAGTTAACTCGGGAAGATGCTATTTTGACTACATTCACCAGGACATAATGGAATAGAATTTTCTAAAAATAAAATATAAATGCTAGAAGCAATTACTCATGTGACATTCAATTAACAACAAGGGGCAAGTCGATAATGATGCCAGTTTCGAGATGTTAATGATTTCCACGACGAGGGTTTGAGATTCTGTTGGATATGTCAGTTTAAAGTCAAACTGGAGAAGACTAGAATCTAATTGGTTGGTTAACATAAGCAGACGCCTTTTGAGTCGCTTAAGGATTTGGGAAGAAATGTGTCGTTGATGTGACAAAATAATGGTCTATTTCCAAAGTTGGCGGTTGCTAGTTTCCAATATTGATCGCAAAATGTCATGTGAGGCAAATATAGTCGCACTAGTTTGGGCACATGCCAGAACATCACATATGATTATTTGCATACGCAAATAATCAACATATATATCATGCACATTGATAGTTTCCGGAAAAATATAAATATATAAATACAGCGGAAATAGAGAATATGTGGGCCAGTAATACTAAGTGGCCTACATTCTCGCTCAGTCATTAATGCCAAGACTTCATGGCACTTCATGCAACTGGGGAACACAAGTATACAGGGAATATACTAGTTTCTTACACACCTGTGGGTGAGAAACCCATTTGAGATAACTGGTATCTAACATATGTGTGAGATCGAATTCCAGGCCCGTGATTGGCTACTCCATGGTGATGACCTGGGGTCAGATGATGACGGACTACTTTCCTGAGTGTAAGTCATTCATAAGTTGCTCGTGCTTCAGTCGAATATTCACCCATGTCTGTATTGAACAACAAGACCGTGTAATTAATAATAAAAATAAACAAACTCGAAATCGTCTGCGAGTTGGTTTGTTATTACTATCAGTTACATTATCTGTTGTTATGTCAACATAATCGTTTTTTCAGAGTGTAAACCCCCTGGATGCCACCGCGACACATATGTCCCTCCTCTTCAACCCTTACTTCGAAATCGAATAAAGTCCAAAATACATCACGCAGATGAATACACCTCACAGTTTTGAATTCCCTCTTCTGTTTATCATTTACTGTCATTTTAGGCAATTCAAAATTACTGTAAATCTCCTCAAATCACAATTCACGGCGTTATATAAATATTTACTTTGTTTAGAAATCTAAATATCGGATATTTACTCGAATAATTAAAGTAGTAAAAATAGCATATTAGCGATCACGGGTATCAAATCACTAATGATAATTCTGAAACGTCGCTGATAAGCCTAGAATCGTTTAGAATGTTTTGGAAAATGCGCATACACGAACGCCGAAGTGTACCTTCCGCCATATTGGATTGTGTTTACAAAATGCCGGTTATGAGACGCCTATTCGATCAGGTATATTTCAAACTCAGCTGCTATGCATGCATCCCTGAATTCCTCATACATTTTCGAAACAAAGGATAAATTGTCTTTGTCACCAATGCAAATTACCTAGATGAAATCATGCGAAATAAATTAGGTATGGAAACGAAAACTGTGCTCGGAAAACTGTACTTGCTGAAATGTAAACAAAGCAAAATTCAGATTTTACACTGTGTAGCATTTTTAGAGGTACTTTCGTCTAGATATAATTGTTGCATATATTGGCTCGATCACGCGTTTGAGAATATTCATGGGAAGAATATCGTTGCACTAATTATGGAAATACACATATATACATTAAAATGATGTGGTAAATTCAACAGAAGCGGTTTACAAAAGTTTCCGTCCTGTGTGGCGCCATGACTGACGCTAAATCACGCACAACGATGACGGTAGTTATCTGCATTTCTGACTAATTCTCTTTGTTACATTGGAAAACATGGTAAACAAATAACAGTACGCAGATTGTCAGAATGCTTCTGATTACTTACGTGACCCATTTATGTGTATACGATCCCTCAATCAACGAAAATCCTCCTCTGGAAATCCCGCGTACTATTGTCAGTGAACACGCCATTTTGTAAAAGTCGGTCACCGGTAGTGATGTCATACGGAAGTAAACATTGTTGTAATTTCTTTGAAAGTGTAAACATTCAACTTGGCACCCAGCGTGTTCTTTGTTTTTGTCTAGTTTGCATTTTCATCATCGCCTTGATAATCCAGATATCACGGAAACCTTTTTGTGTAGGGTCACATTATTTATGAGTAGTAAGCAGCGCATAGGATGACGTCACTTATGACAGTGGTGTCATGTATTAATGCGCTACTGCAATCATGAGAATAGACAAAATTCATAGGTTCGATGCTAAAAAGGTGCGATTTTGGGGTGTGTAAGAAACAGATTACTGCACTCGTGCCTGTCAGATACCATTGATCTTACAACTCGTTGTTACAAAGCGTATCTAACTCGCTTTCGCTCGTTAGATACGTTTTGAAACAACTCGTTGTAAGATCAGTGGTATCTGACAGGCACTCGTGTAGTAATCTCTATTTATCATCCAAAACTGGCTCCCACAGGAGATATCTACATTGTAGATATCGCTGCAATACAATTGCATCACAATGCTTTGCAGACCATTGTGATGCCATTGGTTACCATGACGTCACAATCAAATGACATCACTAATGGCTCTGCTACTGAAACTGTTAGCAGTACTTTTCACACTAAGACACTGCTTACTACTGTCTACAAACTAAAAAGTTGGAAGAATGATGTTGAATGATAAATAAAATCGGCAAGCCTCGGAGCTTTTCCACTTTTATCAAATCGTGTTGATATATTTGATATCAAAAGACACTACGGTTATAACGAACGAAATAAGTGGTCCCTTTGAGTTAGTTATAAGCGTAATTTACTGTACTTTAATCAGTCCGGGTTTAACGTGCTAATAAGAAGCATCTGGATGTGTGTACCACTTACAGAGTAACCGCGACAGGCGTCCGCATCCACCCAGCCACGGAGGTCTGTGTATAGCTGGGCAGGTCGCCGTGGGTCGTTGAGAGCTGTACAGAGGTGGCACCAGCCTACCACCTGGTGCTGGGTCACCTCATACCGCCTCCTCCACTGGAAGTAGCTGTTGTATAGGCTGGCGTTGTTGGCCACGTGGTTCAGGTACATCGCCAGTGCCCGTGGACTGGGGAAGTGTTTGATGTCGATGTAGGAGCCAGGTGGTGCCATCTTCTTGTAGTCTGCGCCTCCCCACGTCACAGGAATCTGATCTTGTCTTAACGCGCTCCAAAATTTCTCCGTTATATAGTCTCTACAGTGGCCATTTTCAAGTGAAAACAAAAATTTGTATTTTTTAAAGATATCAGGACATTTTTTCGACCTTTTGGGACATATGTGTCGCCCACATGCACCGTACGTGTCTACGTCCATGTATTTCTCGATCTCGTGCACGAGTCTGTATCGCCGCGCTCTGTCCGTACAACTACTTGCAACCCACAGAGACAGGTTACTTTTTTGGGCGTGGAAATTCGGCAAAAGAGTGTTCTTGTGCTCATCAACTTTCTTATAATCGCCATACGGGGAATATATATCAGCGTCTTGCCTAAACCAACTAGTCCAGTTGAAAACTCCATTGAATGCAGCTAAGTCAGTGTATATATAGTACGGGGGTTCCGAGTTGTGCAGTACCCACACTTGCTCCGGTCTCCGTGTTTCTGGAAACACCGTGGAGGTGTCCACATCTCTGGAGTTGAACAACACTGCGTCACTCTCCGCCACGCGGCCCCGGTCTGTGGTCATTTCACATCTTGATCTGGAACATGATTGCAGGAAACTGCGTTGGAAGTTCCAATCACTGCTGCCGAAATATTTGGTCCATAGCAGGATGAGCTTGTTGGTTGTGTTTTTGAAGCGTCGGTGAGGGAAGACTTTGATGAATCTGCTGTCAGCAACATAGTCCCTGTTGGCGACTGTCAGGTCGATGCTTGTGGGGAGGAAAGATGTGACCAGCATCCACGCGAAGGTCAAGGCCAGCAGGGAGAGGAAAAGATTCTTCCATACCGTCAGCATGCCGCGACACAGGGGGACGTTGCGCCGTCATGTCACACTGAGCGACCTTAGGCCACCAGTGACTGAAAGATAAAGGACAAGTGTTGAAATTACACGCTGAGCATACACAGCGACTTATACATTCACAAGACCAAATAGCGTCCATTCCAATTTGGAATGAACGTTGGAATGCTTTGGAAAGATCGCTCATTCCAAACTTTCCAAAGCTTGGAAAGATCGATCTTTCCAAAAAATCCAAAATTGGAATGGCAACATTTCCAAACATATTTCCAACACTGGAAATGTTTGGAATGACTTGGAATGGTTTGGAATTGTTTGGAAATGTTTGGAAATATGGTTAGAAGGAACAAGTTAAAATATGTTTTATCAGTAATTTGAACAATAAAAAGACTATGAATTAGGGGCTTTAGGGGTTGCTTATACAGTAATTTTGAAATTTTGAGATTTGGAAAGAATGCCAAGAGTGGGTGGGGGACGAACTAAGGGAGCTGTGTGTTGGGTGGTTGTTAGATAAGGTAGTTTTGGTTTTATTATTTTATTTGGGGTTTAAATGCGACTTATTAGTCCTGTTTTAATTAGGTATAAACCTAAGACTTTGAATTTTTCTAATTTATTTTATGGATTTAGGATTGATTCTAGTGTAAGTTCGGTTTTAAGATTTAGGGTGGTCTGTAGTGTTGTTCGGTGTGTTTGGTAGTGTGTGCAGTGAATGAGTACGTGTTCTGGTGTTTCTTGTTGTTTGCAATGTGGGCAGTTTCCTGTTTTGTGTAGATTAGCTATTTTACGGTGATTATTTAGTTTGGTGCCGCCTGTTTGTAGTTTAGTTATAATTCTGTCGATTGTTTTGGATGGGTGTAGTATTTTTGGTTTATTTAGGGTTTTTTTTTAGTACTTTCCTGATTTGGCTATTTAAGTTTTGGTATATATTTTGCCATTTTTTGTTGATTTTTTGTTTAGTGAGACCTTTGATTTCTGATTTTGAGCTGGGTAAGTTTAAGCTTATTTCTGGGAGTTAAAGGGATAATTTTGCTGCTTTATCTGCCTTTTCATTTCCAAAGATTCCTACGTGGGCGGGGGTCCAAAGGAACTCTATTTGTTTCCCTGCCCTAGTTAAGTTGTTTGAGCTATTGAGTATTTGATTTATTAGTTTGGGGTGGTTTTTTAGTGTTTTTGAGGGCTTGTAGTCCACTGAGGTAGTCGGTTAGGATGAGGATTTTTTGTTGTTTTTTAGATTGCTGATTGTCTAGTGCTGAGACAACTACTGACTGATATAGAAGATTTAACGTGCGCTTTCCGACTGCAGCGTATTTCGCACACGGGCCTGGCCGGACCATTTAGTGTATTCCGAAAAGGGTGAAAGTGGTGTGTACAACCCAAGAGTGGGTTTTAGGGGTTGCTTGTATTGAATTTTTGAGATTTTTAAATTTGGAATAAATGCCAAGGTGGGTGGAGGAGGGAACTAAGGGAGCCGGTTGAGGTGGGTGTTTGTATGTCTATTGGATTTTGGATTGGTAGATTAACTAGTTTTTAGATGCGCTTAATTAGGTCTGTTTTGATTAGGAATACGCCTAGGGCCTTGAAGTTTTCTAGTTTATTTTGAGGGTTTAGTAGTTCATCTAGAGTAGGAACCTTATTTAGATTAAGGGTGGTTTGTAGTGTGGGCAGTTGCCTGTGGTGTGTCTTTTAAGTTTTTTTAGGTGGTTATTTAGGTTCGTGTGTCCTGTTTTGAGTTTTGTAATAAATCTGTCCATTTTTTTAGAGGGGTGTAGGATTTTAGGTTTGGCTAGTGGTTTTCTGAGCACTTTTTAGATTTGGCTATTTGAGTTTTGATATTGATTATGCCATTTTTTGGTTATTTTTTGTTTGTTTACACTTTTAATTTCTGATTTTGAGATGGGTAGGTTTAGGCTTATTTCTGATAAGAGATAATTTAGCTGCTTTATCGGCGCTTTCGTTGCCGTAAATTCCTACGTGGGCGGGGATCCACAAGAAGGTTATTTGTTTGCCTGCTTTTGTTAGGTCGTTGGAGCTTTTAAGTATTTGGTTTATTAATTTAGGTCGTTTTTTTGTATTTTTGTTTTGGAGGGCTTGTAGTCCACTAAGGGAGTCGGTGAGAATTAGGATTTTATTGTTGTTTTTAGATTGTTGGTTTTGCAGGGCTGAGGCCATGCCCATAAGTTCGGCCGTGAATATAGATTGGTTGTTTAGGGAGTCGGGAAGATTGTGTGGATATAACTGGTTGTGTGGTATGGACTCCGAAGCCTGTGTGGTTGGAGATCGGGTCTGAAGATCCGTCAGTTTACATGTGACACCCATTTGGCCAATTTTCGTGTATGTATGCAAGTGTGGTGGTTTTACCTATGTTTGGGTCGGTTTGTTTATTTATTTGGTTAGTTAGCGTTGGGTCTATTTTGTGTATTTTGAGTTTAGGGGTGAAGATATTTGATTTTTTGCAGTTTTGTTTAAGATTTTGAGTTTGGTGTTCATTGAGATAGTTAGTTATTCTTTGGGATATTGGGGTGAGTAAGGGGTGTTTGCGAGCTAGAGTTTGGTTTCTTGGGCTTATGTTTTGGTTAATTATGAGACAACTAATAGGTCTCAAGATTAAGTATTCGGCTGGATGACAGCTGCCATTTAATTACAAAACAGACAGTCGTCTAGACGGCTCACATGTAAGTGCGCCGACATGTGCCTAAGATCATAAAATGGACAATCTTTGGTAACATCTAATTTATTGTTGTCTCACGCCAGAGCTGTGAATAATTCTGTTCATTGAACAATTGGAATTCAGGAAGTTATCAATAATTGTTTTACTTAAGATAAGATAAGATAAGTTGTTTATAACATAATATTATGATGTCAGGACGTACTACATTCAAAACCATATATTTTAAAATCAATTTAATGACAGACTATGATTTCCAAGTCCCGATTAGCAAATCAATGAGGTATCAGTTTCACCACATGTGCACAGACCGCCTATACTTATATATATATATATATATATATATATATATTTCATAACTATTCTCCAGTTAAAGTCCTATCCTCTTATCAAAAAATCTGTGAGAGTGATCATCATTAACGAAACTCATTCTCGTCAAAGAATACAGAACAAATGAAGAATCAGATGCATACATTTATTGCCATGCTTCATTTATCACGAAGTAGATTTACATACATTTGTGAATAGCACTTAAACTGTGATAATGAATTTTACCATTGTCTATATTATATTATAAGTATTAACCATAATATGGATTTCCGAATTTATAAACGACTCCAAACGTTGATATTTCAGACAAAAACAAAGTCAGCCGTCTTTTAACGTTCAAGGGAAAAGGGTTTGCTTTCACAATTGAACATTTGTTTTCACCAAAGGACAATCAAATCAAGCCAAAAACAGTAAAAATACACATATATGGTTAGCGACCGTCATTTATAATAATAATATAGTTTATTACAGTGTCATGTGTTACAAAGCAATACAACATTTAGCACATACTTAAAATACAAACACCAGGCCTCAGTGGGCCGAAATGACACCTTAAGGTATTACAAATATTAAAATACAATTAGATATAAAAAGTAATCATGCACATTCTTAATATCTACATATACACATATTCACTAACACAATCACATAATGCACTCATGCATACACACATATATACATACGCACTCACGCACGCACATTATACAGCGAGGGGGGAAATTCGTCTGCTCTAACTGCCTTCACAAAAACATTCCAGCCCTTAATTACCTTTGGGGTGTTGATCTGGTCAACCTTGAGATCCGGTGTCCCGGTATAAACTCTCCCCCGTACAAATTCTCCCCCCGGAGATTTTATACCGGTACAGATTCTCCCCCGGCGAATCTGTTCTGAAATAAAATCTCCCCCGGGCGGATATATTTCGCGCCCCCCTCAGTATAAAGTCTCCCCCCTGATTATTCGGTTTGTTGCAATGTCTTTAAGTACTATATTCTTTAAATAGTTATCTTTAATGTAAGGAGGGTTACTTTAAAAAATAGATTATGAAATATGGTCATAATGAATTGATATTTCAGAATATTTTATTTGGTAACTGTACCTTCCATCCTAAAATAATTATAAGACATAATCATACCAAACAAAGGATGGGAGACATGAGTCTCTACAGAACTTGTTGTTTCTAATACAGTTGTTGTTGTCTGTATACATTTTTTTAATATACCAGTTTGAGTCTACATGCGAACACAATCGATGGTTGAAATGTTAGTCTAAGAACAAAACATGAACTAATTCTAAAGAACTCTGATGTATAAAGTTACCTTCATCTTTGATTGACTGATGTATTTTCAATCTTTATTCAGCACTGAAGAGGCCACAGGCCTATAGTACGAAGCATTAAGTTTATGAATAAACTGTTATAAAATATTCATAAAGTATCAGGGGTCATTTCAACTTGCAAAATGATTGACATAGTCCTTTATAGAGCGAGGATTGGGCTGTTTTCTCACCCGATTGACTGACATACAACATTCACATGGTTTAGAATGGTACAATGAATGGTAAAGCATGCAAATTACTCTAATACGCGATATTTCATAAGAAAATATCATATCTCCGTTAAAACATAAAACCAATATTTATGAGTCTACATATTGATATAAGACTTTATCACTGTATCCAATTCCAACATTTTAGATATAAACTTTCGGACAGTTCAGTTCAAAATTCTTCAACCTTTAATACATCAGAGGGATTTGTAGCAAGACGACGGGAATCTACAGTCTTGACTGTGTGTGTGTTTTTTTATGAGAATGTTTCTCACCGACCTTAGCGTGTAGGGGTGTGATGTCCTGGGCAGGAAATGACAGTGTTTTGACTACTCGTCTTTCATTAATTAACGTTATGGGCATCCCTAATTAACATTTACTAATTCATGTTAAACCAACACAGGATGTTTTCTGGAAGTGGACAATCGCGAATGTAATAGGGCTGACACGACATGTGTTAATAACTGTCCTAGAACTTCTTAAGTTACTAAACATTCTTTATATCTAACGACTAATATTATAT